GTTACACATAGGAAATGAAACTATTTTTCCGGATTTAAATCGCGTATATTTGTTTTTTCAAACAAACCTTTTGTTTGAAAAAACAAATATACGCGATTTAAATCCGGAAAAATAGTTTCATTTCCTATGTGTAACAATCGCGAAAACCTAAGAACTCGATATTATATATTTAATTACCGATGAAATGTGGTTCCGTTTGTTTTGTAATTAGATGTTTTGCTGTTTTTCCCCACACCATCGAATGGAACAGCTCCCCATAGTTAGAGATATTATCTTTAGTAGAATAAATACAGAATATTTTTGAAATATACAGAGACGTACACACAGGTCAGTTGTTGGCGCTGTACTATTTCAGCTTTCTAATTTGTGATGATGATATAAGGACCCTAAGCCTGATGAGTTTCCAGGGATGGATGGTCCCTTATTTCGTCTCTATTTCTGGTTATATACTCGATGTTTAAAACCGTAATTCCATTGAGACTCCACCGAGATATTATTTATTAATCTGTTAAAATCTAGTAGCAATGGCAGTTGAATCTCAATAGAGTATGATTAGAAAGGCACTGATGGCATTCATTTTTCCAATCACTAACGATCGATGTTGCATTCACCATCATGGAAGTTACTACGCATATATTAATTTTTATTCCGTTTAATCAGCAATTAAGAGCGGTTACACACGCGCGACTTTAAGCAGCGATGCAAACGCGATCCACGTTTGAAATTAATTAACTAATTTTATTTATTTAATGTATTTATTAATTTCACTTTTAAGTTTACAATTAACAAAACAAAAGAAAGTGCATAAACCTATAAAATTTTTCGTACATAATGATTCAACTTACGCAATTGTATCGATGCAATCGCGCGTTTGTATCGTTGCAATCGCGCGTTTGTATTTTATTTTTTATTTTTATATTATTCAAATCAAACTTAAGAGTTATACTCTTGTCGGTGGAGCATCTTCCAGTCATCTCTCCTACAAGCCAGCTCCTTGACCTCCTTATAGGACACTTTGTTAGGGCGTCGCAATAAAAAATATAGATTAATTAAAATTTTAAAATAAAAGAACATAATAATAATGTAATTTTGAAGAAAAGCTAATAAATTAAACAATAATAATGATAATAATAACGTAACATGATGCTTTTGATGCAGTCGCGCGTTTAGAACGCAAGTGTAGCGATGTAATCACGAGTTTCATGAACGCGCGTTTGCATTGCCGTGTGCAACCATTCTTAGTCTTCACATTGAATATATTTTATTTATGTCACTTAATTAGCAGGCTACGCCATCGATTCGTCATTGAAGAGCAGAACACAAAATATTTGCAATGACAGTTGAATAGTTGCTTGACGGCTAGCCACTACTTTGCACACAAGCTACTACTTTGAACTTTTAGCAGAATACCAATCGTACAGAACCCTGCTATTGGCACACAACTGTGATGATTTAAATTTGTAGCCCATTGTGTTGTTTAGAATTGGAGCCCAGTTGTGAATACTCAATAAACATCAATATATTTATTGTAGACGCATACCACACCTAGAGGTGCCGGTGACGTTTTTATACCGATTTATCGGATATCGAAGTTATAACAGGTAAAAGGACTAATATTAATTGCTATTTCGGTAACTACTCTAGCAAACCATAAAGTTTTTAGTGCCTGGGTCTGTCATTAAAAAAAAATAAACAACTTCAAAAATACGTCACGACAATCGTGTGTGTTATTGTTTGGGCTGGTGATTTCGGTGTTTATTTATTAAAAGCATACCGTAAGTAGCGTTTTTTAAGTTTACCCTGAATATAAATGTTTATAAACTACACTTTAAGGAGTAATTTCATGGTAAACGTTAGAACCACTCAAACGGAATATTATCATATATATCCAAGTACACCAAAAATTTCAT